TTGTATTGTCATATAATGTATATTATGTGAATTGCATTGTCTTAGTCTATTATACATGTTGTCATGGGTGTTTGTTCTATGAATTATCTTGTATAATTCTATAATGTGCATGCAGTAATGTGTATGTGTTGTGAATTCTGTCTCATAATAATTGATAATGTGCATGTCATAATATGAGTTTTATGAATTACCTTAATATAAATAAAATAATTGATATTAATAAAAGTTCTTGCATGCTGTTTGCTCTTGGTCATGCTGGTTTGGCTTCTATCTATCATGATAACATTTAATATTAAAATATGCATGTTTTTGTAGGTTCTTCTACTGCAAGTTAAATGTCATAAAAGGGTTTCCTTTCTGCATTGGAACAGCATTTGTAGCTAAAACATGTATTGATAATCATTTCTATTAAACTACACTTCTACTTAACTGCACTCATTAAAGTTATCTACATTGAATATCCAAAATGCAGTGCAACTATGGCATAATTTGAATTGTAAACACTTAAATGCTGTTGCTAATACGGTTTTTGCTTTACCTTTCATGTGTTGTCAAAAAAGCAAAAAGACACTAGTAATGGTACTCCTGGTTTACTGGGATGGGGTTCGATTCCCTGTGGTGTCCTACTGATTGTTTTGGCATTTACATGTAAGACCACATTTAACTGAATTACATGTTGTAACAACTTTAACTAACATTCTTAACTCTACATCAACAATTCCATACAATAAGCCATATCATCACACTCACAATAATAGCAAAATCGTCAATTATGACCTAAAATGAACTTCTGTATAGACATACAGTCACAAATGGCACAAATTTTATTCAGCAACATTTTTTGAATGTACTGTCCAATTTTGAAGCAGATCTGATAAATTCCCCAGTAGTTCGTTCATTCAAATATAAGACCACGGAATTCAAAATGGCCAACTTTGATGGCACGCCACGGACACGCCCTTCAACGTACAGTCACAAATAGCACAGCGTTCATTCAGCAACATTTTGTGACTGTACTGACCAAATTTGAAGTCGAGCTGATAAAACCCGTAGGAGGAGTTAGTTAAAATTGAAGCCCTGAAATGCCAGAAATGGCATCACAGCTTGACATTAGATTCAAAATGGCCAACGTTGACGGCACACCACGGACAGTCACAAATAGCAAGGCGTTCATTCAGCAACATTGTTTGACTGTACTGACCAATTTTGAAGCAGATCCGATAAATTCCCTAGGAGGAATTCGTTCAAATACAAGGCAAAAAAGTAAAAATGACAAACAAAATGGCCGCCAAGAGTTAAAATTAAAATCAAAATAGCCGACTTCCTGTGGGTTTTGGGGCATGGGTCCAAGAGGCTTTTCTGTAGGTCTCGGTAAGTTACACGTGCCTACCGAGTTTCATACATATTGTCAAACGTGGCGACAGGGCTGCTTTGTTGAAATACTGTAGGGGGCGCTACAAACAAGATTTTTGGTGTGTGAGCTACAGGCACCAGTCTACGCGCGTCCTGTGAATTTCATATTCATAACTATTACGGTCTCTGCAGAGTGATTTACAATGCCACCAGAGCACCACCTAGTGGTGTGGTATTTTCTCCTTTTTAAGTGAGCCTCAGGGAGCCATGGGCAATCATTGTACCAAGTTTCATTTTAATCACACTTGCCGATCCAGAGATATAAACTTCTTCATTTTAAAGAGCGCCACCTTGTGGCCATGGCCTGAAATTGTGCACAAGGCCTAATGGAGACATAAGGAACTATAGACCCAAGGTTGGTGTCAATCGGACATACCAATGTGGAGAAATGCCCCACTTCCTTTATTGACGAAAAATCAACAGGAAGTGCTAATTTTATAACGTGCTTATTTTTTGAAATATCAAAATACTTTAAATTACTTTTTTGCCAGGACGGTCTCCAGATGCTACGTGCAAAGTTCCGTGCAAATCGGACCAAAGGGCATGGATGGAACACGAAAACGTTGTTTTTGGACATTTCGCAATCTAGCAAAAAAAGATTCTAGGCAGAAGTGGCCTACACCGGGAGATGCAGCTCCATTCACCAAACGCGTGGATATAAGGTTTTTGAATGTGAGATAAACGATGCGGGAGTTATTAGCTTATCAAACTTTGCTTAGAAGTAGCGCCACCTAGTGGCCTTCCTAGTGGCCGACCTGAATGTGACGCACAGATTATTCGTAGCCAGGAGACTTGAGTCCGGGTCTCATCTGATACATGAAGTTGCATGCATATGTGTGTGAATGAATTGTGAAAAAAAGAAGAAAGAGTGAATATTTAACTGCAGAAAATTAAAAGGAAAAGAAAAGAGTTTTTACTCTTTCTCTCTCAAGAAAATTAAAGGGACATTAATATTGGATCTGTAAAAGTCTTTTCTGTAACAGTCAGCTTCAAGGTCCATGTAAATTGGGAGAGGGACAAATTCTAAATTTAAAGAAAAATTGTGAAATCAACAACACTTTGAGAGAACAACAAAGGCATGATTCCTTTTGTCACTTTTGGGGAATTTGTTTTTAAGAGATAAAATGGGAAAATGAGTTCAACCAATAGCAAGAGATCAAAAGATAAAAAGTCTCCATTGTTATTACTCCTGTCGACTGCTAACATTCAGTTTATACTATATATATATATATATATATATATACTATAAACAAAGTACTGACCAACTTGACATGTGGTTTAAAGAAAGTGGACAGCTTTAGCATAAAGCAATTACAAATGTAAAAACTAAATGAGAAGGGAAGGAAGAACAAAAAAATAAAGAAAAAAGGAAATGTTCTCAGAGCAGATTGGATAGAATATTATCTAATAAAGTATATTAGTACATGTATATGTATATGTAAACATTAGGGACAGAATCACTAAACACCTCTATGTCTCAGTGCCTCAAACTAGATCCTGATCTGGACTCGGCTCCACTCAGAAGACAGCAGCCGGCACTATGAGAAGACCAGCCAGCACCACGAGCAACCGCAGCAGCCTCAACAACAGACGCCACCAACAGAATCCATCCAGGATTCAGTGACTCTATCAGAACCTTGACACAGACTGTGGCATAATATGTAGCTGACTCACAAAAGGTCCACAAAACACACAGTGGACATAGATCAGAGGCTATGGGGGGGAACAATCCTATATCCCCTGTGAGGCCCACTGGAGAGACAGTTTCATCCAAGGCATTAAGCCAGAAATCAGTGACATGGTGAAACGTAACTGTGTGACTTGGACTATGGAAACCTTCAAATTACAACTGGACACTCTGCGATACGGACAAGGCTGAGGATGTGGCAGAAGAGGTTGAGGCAGGACACCAGCCGATTGACTAGCGGGTGGGCCAGGGACAGTGAATGACCCATCTGGTTTGGACGCAAGGACTGAGAACAATTCATTCACAGACTTTTTTAGTGAATGATTAATTATACATAATTTTAAGACTTGGTACAATTTAAACAGATTAGTTATGTAAAATCCACCCTCGTACAGTTGTTATGAACGAGGATATTAGCTATGGAGAGCAAACAGTTTTTTTGTACCAGGTTGTAAACATCTATTGTAAAGTTGGGCATTTCAAAATGAAGGAAGTTGCTGCATTGGCTTCATTTGACAACCACGGAGGTTGCCGTTTGGTCACAACCATCAACATACATAAAGACAGACGACATGGCAAATCTTCAAAAGTGAAGCCAAAACATTTCTATTACTCTCCTGGTGGCTTACTGCAGTATAGTAAATAAAGCCTGCTGCCTCCATGTTAGCAGATGGGACATGGGCCAAACTAAAATAACATATTTCATGTCAAATACATTTTTCCCAAAGAGGGTTTCTGGCATTTTATGTAGCTCTTATCATGCTGATGCAGTACTTCTCAAATGGTGGTGTGTCAGGGGGGGCGTGAGAGGCAGGGGGGACTGACGGAGGAGGAGAGATGGAGAAGTTTCTGACAGGAGTGAAAAGAAAAACGGAGGAGGAGGTGCGGTGAATACGGTCGGAGTGAGGAAAGACCTGTGTGTGTTTTATGCCTAAAAAATGCACATCCCAGTGAATCATTTGCACTTTTTTCTCTGTTTTGAGAATCACACAGACTAAGCAGTCTTGTTTAAATGTTACAAATTGAGTAAATAAACTGAACATGGAAATTGTTTTAAGTTGTTGCAGATGTTATCTCAGCTCATTTTATTAATCTATTTTGATAATCAGGTGATTGTATGCAGAATGCTGGTGCCAGCAACTCGTACAGTGGTTTGTACAGATAAATAAATAAATATGATCAGGTACTCAGTAGTATTTCAATTCAGGGGGGGTGTGAAAAAATTTCACATGACAGAAAATAATTGAGAACCACTGTGCTGATGTAAGGTTTGATACCTCAGCGCCCACTTGTGGCAGGGGTCTCAAACCCAAATTGGCTTGGGGCCACTGCTGGCATTGTCATCTCATAGGAGGGCTACATCAGCATTCAATTACCACAAGAAAGCGCAGTATTCTGGCAATATTTGCACTACTAACATCCTTTTTAACAGTTTCTGTACATTTTTATATCATAATTTTATATCATCTTTGTTGTTCCCACCAAACAATAGAAAGCCTGAAACTTGTTCTCTTCTTATCAAGTGTTAGTGCGCATTTGCAAGCATCTTTGACCTTTAATGAGAAATTTTATATTTTGAGAATGAAGTCATAAGATTGCAAGGTAAAATCATCATAAAAACATAATTTGTAATATTTTAGTAAAAAATCTAAAATTTATGAAAATGTTTTGTAAGGGAAATTACTTAAAGGATAAGAATTTGTGGTTGATTTTGCAAATGTACATTTGCAAAATTTACCAATTTAGATTATCCAGAGATTGTCCCAAACCGAGTCTGTCTGAATTAAAGTTACTAGCAGAGCATTAATCCTCTTTCACTTTTAAAATGTGTTTTACAAAAAAAAGTAAATGTAACTAAATAACACTAAACTGTAGAAAAAGAAAAAACAAGTCTACAAGGTTCCAAACAGAGAAGCATTTATTATACTGCACAAAACTATAAAACTGAAGCTTGAATTTCTATTGTATGTTCATTGTCTGTGAGTCAGATGTATTCTACAGCATGTCTCTAAAGCCAGCACTGTCTCGTACCATGTTGCTGTAGACTGATTTGTATACCTTCAAAACATCCAGAGATGAAGGGCGGAGCTTAGGGTCTTCCTTCTTACACTCCTCATGGATCTGAAAGAGATGGAAGTGGACTAAATCCCCTCCAGGTACCCTTCCCATTAGGAACCATGTCACGTCTGGGATCTTCCAGATATCTGTCCTCTCATCATACTCATGCATGAGATCGTCTGAAAATGGCTTCCCTTGGTTTCTTAATGGCCACAGCTGCTCTGGGGCTACAAAGTCCCCTGTGAGCTCCCGGTGGCCACATTTCACAAACAGACCTCTGGATGGGTCTACCTCAGGCAGCGCATCCACATCATTAACTACCAAATGAAAGTCACTAGTCAGCAGAAACTGAGAGAGAGTTTTCTCCAGGCTGTTGGAATCACACATAACCCGCCGCCCAGCTGGGCTGTTATGGAGGTAATGGAGGATGGCGACATAATCTGTAGCCAACCTCAGCCGGATCTGCCACGTGTTGTGTTGTTGGTGCCGCTCCTGTGCAAGAACAGCATCCAAGTTAAGCAGTGAACCAAGTGGGTGGTGTTCCGTGACCAGGGTGTTGTCTTCGAGGCAAAACCCCACCAACTGCACCACCAGGGGACTCTGCAGGGCCTCTAGCATGGACAGTCCATGGAGAAAATCATCCAGGTAATCCAGAGAGGCTAGTTTGGATAGAGCCACCTTCTGTCTCCTCCACTCTGCCAGATAGACCTGAGGAAAGAAAAGTGGATGCTGAGGTCAGTAAGGCTAGAGTTAGCACAACATTGTCTGAAACAACAACATTATTGCATTCTTTTGTCTAAACTGAACAAATTTGTCATAAATTGCTAATTTCAATTTGATAAGATTAGCCTCTAAACAGTGACCACAAGGCAGCTATTGGGAGTTTAAAACTGATTTTTATAAGTTGTCATGCCAAAAATCATATGCCCACAAAACAAGCAAACAAAAAGAAACATCGTTGAACATCTCAGTAAATTGCCAGTCATGAGGCACATCACAAAGGCAATTTTTGGTGGGCTTCAGACTTGTATGACAGCTCTAGAACATATGGATTAAATTTGTACCCAAGAGAGATTTCTAAATTGGTGAATGTGAGAAGTTCTCTTAAATGACAAGTACATAGCAGTTAGAATCTGTTTGTACATTTGGTCCCTGCATTATGTTTGAAATTTCTTTTGAAAAGCCAGTAAGAATGGTCTTGCCAAGTGCCAAGTATGGATTAATCAGAATCAGAAATACTTTACCGAGGAGAAATGTGTTCGTTAAGAAAAAGAAAGAAAATAATCATATTACAATATCTAACAATACATTAAGAAATAGAAATAAATATATCAGTAGTATCACACATATAATATTATAATATTAATATAATAAAAGTATGCACATTATACTACTAACCCATGCTACGTGTGCTTACTAGTGTCTTACAGCACATGTAGTATGAGACTGCCAACACTGCAATTTGAAAAAAAGAGAAAACATATTCACTAATTTAACAATATAAATGTGAACTGTTCGTTCTTTATTTCAAAACTAAGTTGGAAAAATGAAGGTGGTTCCCAGCATCAGTGATATTGGTGAGGTGAGGTGTCTGCGCAGAGCCCATAGGATACTGAAAGACAGCACCCACCCCAGCCACAGCCTGTTCACCCTGCTGCCATCAGGGAAGAGGCAGCACTGACTGGAGTCATACGCTTACAACTAAAACCTTTATGTATTTAAATCAATTTGTATAAATATCACATTTGTATCCATGTTATTTGTAACAACAATATATTCCTCAAAATACATCAGGTCTGCATATGTGTTTTCTACCACCAGATTAAGAAGCACCTTTGTCCTTATAAATGTAATTCCAGTGACTGTGTGACCAATGAGAAGGTATCAGCCCAACGTGGATGTGGATGTGGATTCTGTGTTGCCCTCCTACATTGCAAGCATAAAATAGGAGGAATTAACATGACTTGAGGCTTTCTGTTGGTGTTCTTTTTTTTTATTCCATACACTACCTATAATTCAGTTCACTCAATAAACTAAGCCAACATGCAGTGTAAAAGACCATTTACCTTCTTAACGGCACCCTGGCCAATCAGCTTCAGCTTGTGAACTTCAGAATTTATCTGTGAACACTGGAGCCAGGGGGTGCAGTTTTTCATGGTCGTCATTTTAAAGTGTCGAGGCCCACAGCCTACATAAGAGGACACCGGCTGCTGATCAGTCTGATACACAGAGTCCAGATACAGGTAGATCAAGACATTGCTGAGGAGCAAAGCAGCAAGGCACACCCCGACCACTGGAATGCTATGGGAGATAGTACTGCTATTGGTCCGACCCATGGTGCTCTGCATCTGAAATGGAAAACTGTTTGTTAATCCTGGATTAAGTTATTTTATCATATTTTCAAATAAAGGCAAAATTAGTAAATGGTAATGGCGCTTTTACACTACCTGCCACATTTGCCCTTTCACACACATGAACTCAGTGATGGCAAGCCCATCAAACAGAAACTAACTCATTCATACACATTCACCCACCGATGCACGAGATGCAAGAGCATTTTGGGGTTCAGTATCTTGCTCAAGGATACCTCGACATGCGGCATCAGTAGCCAGGGATCGAACCAACAACCTTCCAATTAGGGGACGACCCGCTCTGCCTCTGCGCCACAGACACCCAGTAGAGAGTTCAAGATTCAAGATTCAGATTCAAGAAGCTTTATCTATCCCGAGGGAAATTACTGTGCAACAGTTTCAATACAAAGGTGGTAAAGTACTACAGGGTTAAAGTAAAAATAACATAAAATAAAATAAAATAAAGGCTAACATAAAATAAATCAAACAATTAACTAAATGCAACAAAATGTAAGCACTTACAGGTAACATAAGTAGAAAAGAAGAAACAAGTAACTAAATGTGACAAAGTGCAACAAAAATTGCAGTTAAAAGTAGGTATATACAATATACAACAATACGCACTGTGCAGTTTAGCAGCATAAATTGAAATAAAATAAGTACAGCAATTGTTAAAAACAATGATCTGCATTCATATGGTTGGGTGAATGCTAAAGATTTAATTGCAGTCACATGGGGTAGGTGCATTTTAACCCTCCCAGCATGCACGTATGTTTTATTGTGTGTGTGTTCCTGCTCCACAATGTTTCCAATGTTTGCACTCTGTTAAACATTACCAACAAATATGATTAGACTACCAATGATTTTCGGTCGGCAAGAGACTTAAGTTTCTAAATTTTCTTAAAAAGAAGGTTTATCTGCATGAACAATTTAATGACAAATGTCAAATTAAATGCCATGTGTTCTAGTGCCATTGGTCTTTTAACAGTCGGAATCTCTGAATGAATGAATGAATGTTACCATGTATAAATATATATCTTCATAATGATAACTAAATATTGACCAACAGATCATAGTGATTGCTCAATAACTTTTAATGTTCTCATCTAAAATAATAATTCATATCAACATAATAATGTGAAGAAGACTGAGGAAATGTTTTTTTGATCCTAGGTCAGTGGGTAATCTTCCGCCAGTGGTTATGGCAAATAGTCCGTACTTGTATAGCTCCTTTTTAATCTTCCGACCACTCACAGCTTTTTACACTACATGCCACATTCACCCATTCACACAGTGATGGATCACAAACAGAAAAATTCTTACACATTCATTCACCGATGTAAAAGTGGTGCAAATTGGCCTTCTTGCTCAAGGACACCTCGACATACAGCTGGGGGTCAAACAAACCGGTATACCTCCTGCACTTTAAAAAGTAACGCCGTGGCCCTATTCTCACCACTTAATTAAATGCATGGTTGAAAGTTAAAATTTCTAATATATTGATCTAGATCAACCTTTTAAGTTGCAAAAAATGTTTTATGAGTTGTGTTGATATAATAATGTTGGTAATTACGTCAACTTAATATTGTGAGTAATTTAAACTAACATTTCTGCGTTAATTGGTTCAAAACAAAAGTCAAGTTGTATTAACTTGTATTAAATTTACTTGATAAATTTTTCTCCACCTTGAGTTCAGCATTTCAAGTCCCCTCCCCTACCCACCCACCTATCACATGCCTGGGTAAATTCAGACAGTTGAGACTCTGTGTTAGCAAATACGATATACAAAGGACATTTTTGAAGTGAGTATAATTTTATTTGCAAATAAATTCTTGCAAGAATTTGGGCATATTCTCAATTGTGATTTGACCAGCTGTGGATTTGTGACTGGAAGTTAGGCTACATCTGTTAATACAGTTGATGGAATATGTGGTACTAATAAACATAGTTAAGGCCAGTCATATTTAGCAGCCTAGTTTAGCCATTCTCTTCTCTTCTCCAGGTATGGAAATTATTAGGCTTATATTTGTTGACAGTCAACAATTAAGATTATATCTGGTCAGTTACTTTCCTTTAATACTTTTTTCCCCCCTTTTCTTAAATAGCCCAATACAACTTAAGTACATAGAGACGTAGCTATCCACTGCCTTGGAGAGAAGGAAGAGGACTGTTCTCAAGGAGTTTAGAGTAAGTAATTCAACATCTTGAAAGAAAATGAAATCCACGTTGGGCAGTGTAAATACACAGGGCAGTACCTCAAATATATGAAAAGCCACTTGGAGATACAAATATGGAACTTTTGTTTTGGCATTTCTCCACATTGTTGCAGTAAAAATGCTTGATATTAAGTATAATTTTTTTATTCATCATAGGCGCATAAAACACTTTAATGTAACATATTTTATTTTAAATGTAGGTTCGAATTATAGCTTACTGTTCTTAATACCTTTATTTTGAAAACCGGAAGTGAATACGCTGTAAATGTGAGTGCGGCTGATTTGACCACGGAGATCGGAGTAACGGCTGGCTTGACCGCAGTTATCATATCACAGTCGTTATCTCGAGATCTCAAATTAATTAACTTGTTATCACGGGAAAACAAAGTTTTGTTATCTCGAGAAAATTAACTCGTTATCACGGGAAAACGGAGGAACTAAAATGTATGAATACATGGCCCTTTAGGGCTTCCGTAATTCTGTGCTCTCAACTAGCTTAAAAGATACTGCATATGGCAGCCGTGAAAATCTGCCCAGGGCAGCATCCCCCTAGACCCCTTCAGTTTGGGCTAAGCCCCGAATGTTCACAGCGGCTTCGTGAATAGTACTATCAGAGAATGTCTAATAAGGAGAGAAGTTCCACTCTCGGTATACTTCCGGCTTCTGAACTGTTGCAGTTCCCCTCTGGTTCCATATGAGGGCGCTCACAGGATGAGTGCAGAATGAATGGAGCTCTATGGAGCTATACCCTCAAAATCCACTTTTCTCAGGATATCATTTTTTGTCTAGTAATTTGAATGTTGCATTCAAAAGGGGACGCAAAGAAATTACACATTGCTGGGTGTTAGATTTTTTAGAGTCACTTATTTGCTTTAAAAAGTCTTTTAAAATGTCAATGACGTCATACACATCGTACGGCCAGAGATACTGCTTTACGGCAACTGCTTCCGCGCTCTGCACTTCCTTTTCTCTCGAGGCATCGACAACATAGACATAACGATAGGCAGATAAAAGTACCAGCAACACAAAAAAAAGTTGCTGTGTTAAAAAAAAATCCGCCTTAACATTCTGGTCCCGCTTCGGATGCCATCAAGCGGGATCTCTGGTCGTAATCAGTCCTTCACTGACCAATCAGCGTTCATTAGCAGAATGCTAGCGTGTTATGGGCAACAACAACTCGTCCTGTAAGAAATCGAAAGGACATAAGTACTCTTTCATTCAACTTTCAGCCTATAACCCATGTTGAACTTGCAAAAACTACAATCAAATCTGAGATTTCTCAACGACAATCAGGTGAAAGAGACAAATTTAGCCGTCTAGCTCCATCTGCTCACATTCATTGTGCAATCATGGGCGATCGCCCCCAGTGGACCTGCAACCAAAATTCTGTACAATGGGACTTAATAGAGAGTGGCCAGGCTCTCCGTAGACGGGCTCTGGTACTATACAATAGAACTACCACAGATGTCTGAAAGGCATGGTGAAAGAGAACACACACTGATGTAGGAGCATACGTAGTATGACGATTGTGGATAAGATGCGTCTGACGTTTTACGACCAGTTCCCAGCACTGTAACTCTATGTTAAAGACAGGCAGGCATAGCAGGCTACCTTCCGTTTATGTAACGTTACAACAACACAGATAAATAACTACGTTATCATTATTTAGAGTAATTTACTAACATACCTGCCGCAACACGGGTTCACATGGTGTTTGTCACAATTCAGCAGACACAATAACAACCTGTCCAGTACTAGTAAGATATAGCATAGCATACAACATGTCATATGGCACGAACTCCACCAGTCAGATCCAGAAGAAAAACTTCCTGTCAGGGTTACAGAATAAAAGCGTCATATTTACACAACTCAATTATTGACTTAGTAAAAGCGCCACAGTATCATCCCCATTTGTGAGAATATTTACATTAATATCACCGCCCACTTCGAGACCTCTGAATAACACACAAACCTTACAGTTTGTAAAGATGAAGACTTTATTCTGAAAAGAAGTGGAAGTGTGGTTGTTACTGATTCTTACCAATGGTACACCACAGGTTTTTTCACGTCTATACAGTCGACTGAAAGACGTCTAACGGGAGCGAGCAGGTAATGTTACCATTATTTTTTTTTTATCTACAAAGGAGGCTAAGTCGCAGGCTAACGTAAGCTACCCGTCAGACACCCTCTGTCAAACTGACCACAGCTCTAATTTGATATTTAACCTGTAAAAACACACACCAACGCACAAGATAGCTAATGTTAGCTCATGTACAAACAATTACCCTCCTTAGCTACTTAAGGAGCTGACTAAGTTACAACGAAACTGCAGCTGCTTTTTATCTTTACAGTTAGCATGCTTAGATAAAGGGGTCTGCTATATTTATACCCCCAATAGCTAACTTAAGTGCAAAGATGGCTTTTTTTCTTCGCTTCCGGTTTAGTTCAGGCGTGACATCTGTTTATTCGTAATGGTGTCTATACGTGATAAAAAAAAAATTATAATGCATCATTCATTTTGAACATGAAATTGAGTATATTGTGTTTACGTTTACGTTTATTTCCACCCAAACCTCTGCAGATGTTTATTTTCTAACTAATCCCAGTATTTGCTAACGTAACATCTCTGCTGTTATTGACATTGGCCAGCGGTTATTTCGAAAATGAAACAACCGTGTCTAACGTTACCATAATGCTGGAACAAGAAAGCGGTTATATATTAGGGTTTAGGTGGCTGTATACGTACATAAAGGTGTAAATGTTCAATCTTAAACCCTATCTTGTTTTCTGGTTCAATACGTGCTGTGGTCCATGAGTGGGATGAGCCCTGTTTCCATAGTTTCCTCCACAGAGGCCTGTGATGTCAACACAGCACTGCCCATTCACACCCCTCCTCTCCCTCTTCTTCCACCTTACTGTGTGAACAGCAATGAGTCACCAAGCAAGCTCAACGTCTCAATTATTATTCCTTTGCCATTTATAAGCATCCTGTGGGTTTCAAGGTAAATGTGTCACACAGTAGCTTGCACAATGCAAACCTGGAAGCATCAAGGTGGGTTGAGAGTAGTGTTGGGCTAGTTACTCAAACATGTTTATTTATCACTCATTACTCATTACTCTTTTCAAAAGTAATATTGTTACTTACGTATCACTCCCTGCCAACAGTAATTGCTTACACTACTAATGATATTTCTTTTCTCCTACTCCTCACAAAGTTGGTGACCTCTGAGCATTACTGGCTATTTAGTTATTCATCACAATAAAGCAAGACAACAGTTCTGACTGTATTTGTTGGGCCTAAAAATGGTTTCCACTGATAGGGGCTTTAGCGTTTTTTGCCGGCACTGTAGTTTCTATTATACGTACCGTGGCACTACCAAAATACATTGCACGGCTGCTTACATAGACAATGAATGGAAAGTTCACAGGTATTAGTCTGCCCTTTGAGTTGACTTCTACTTGTGTGAACCAACCCGACCTTTTGACAATTTTGGGTGTACACAAGGGTAATTTTCAACACGATCACACCCACAGCAATCTCCTTTGATTGACAGCTTCTAGTTGGCTACCTGAACATCAGGCAAACACCTCGGTTATTAATTACACATGATTCCTGACAACAAGTACGGAACAATGGTGGCAACACACTGTGGTTAAGTGATCAGTTGTTTGCAAAAACTCAGTCAAGCCAGCTGCTATTTAGATTCTGATGTGTGTCCATGCTGTTGCAAAAAGATGAAAGACTCCCATTACTGCAGTCATTTCTCACATTATGCTACACAACCTAATTCAACCCTGTTCTGTTGGTTCAGGATGACCAAATAACTCCTAATTTGATAAAAACTGTTTCCATAAGAGAAAATTGAAGGAAAAGTAATTTTGGAAGGCACCAAAAAAATTTCAACTTAACAAAAAAACTAAAACAAAGGGCCCATGCCAGAAAAACTGTGTATACTTACTTCTGAATATAATTTTTCGCCTTTTCAAACTGCAGTCAGTTGTTCCTGTGGTAAAAGTGGAAAAGCTGGAGCAGCTGCAGTAAAAGTAGAAAAGGTTTACACTGGTAGACACAGCTTCCTTCTTTCATTTGTGCAGCAACCTTCTTGAAAAGGTTGCAGTGTGATATTTGCTTTCAGATTGAGTGTTATATAAAAATCTCCAGTTGGAAAAACAATATAACTTAGACTTAAGTGAAATGGACCAACCCTATCAACAACATGTGAATGGATGGTAATTAAGAACCAGTTCCAGTTGAGAACCAATTCAAATTGTCCGATCCATCAGAATCGTGCGCTACTGAGATTATTAATACCTTTTATCAATGCTGCCATGTTTTTCTGACAGTCTGACAGACACAATTGATCAGGAATCAATAAGGGAATCAACAAAGAATCGTACTGATAAGCAGATTCAATAATAATGTTGGTTCAATACAATATTATCTGTTCCCATCCCTACAAAATAAATAAAATGCATTATCTGAGCCTGCGGTGTTACTGGGCTGACTGTCTGTGCTGGGTTAGGTGTTACATCACCTTGGCAGTCGGTTAACACTCGTGCTTTTTTCAGATTGTTGCTCCAGACATACTTTTGAGCAATCTTACCCACGGGGAGGACCTGTCTAGGCATAAATTGCAGTTCGACATGCTGAAGGAGTGAGGTCCAGTAGGGATACTATCTTCACCTCCTCTATACCGATTCCTCAACCAAGCTAAACAAGGAAAACAGGTGCTACAGGTGATCTCTCATGCAGTTTACTGTACCTCTTTACCCACAGCATATTGCTGACCACCTCTGTTTCACATTTGCAGGCCAAACTACAGCAAGACGCGGTGATAACCACATGCATGATGAGAGTCCCTGTGTTCTGTGTGATGGGGCTAGCATTTATCTGCCACAGCCACTGCCTGGGAATACAAAACCCTCTGTATGGGTTCAAAAGGTAAAATTTTTTAGCTAATTTTCAGGTTCATATTGTACTTAAATTTTCAAAAAGCCTTTTAACTAGGGCTGCACGATAATTACCGGGGCAGACATAATACATACATAATAATAATAATAATAATAATAATAATAATAATAATAATAATGATAATAATAATTTATTTAAATTATTTGAAACTTTACTATAACTTTAAACAAAACATTTGAATAATCACAACTGTTTTTGTTGTGTTAAAAGTGATGTCAGTTCGATTTGGTTAGGTCAGAGCTATTTCTAAACTTTCTTACCATCAGGTTTTCATAGACAGGTTATGAACTTCTTTTTAGAATACAAAAATGTACGTACCAAGGCTGAGTCCTTGCTGCAGTGGCCCACAGTTTCGAATCTAACCTTCAGCCCTTTGCTGCGTGTCATTATTAGTAATTATCAGTAGTAGTTATCATATTGGCACCAAAAAAAATTACTCATTTAGATTATATCCCTGGTCATATTGTTCACCTATTCAACAATTTATGCCAAAAAATTATAGAATTTTATCTTCCTGTTAACCAATATATGGACTGTGCTTATGCAAGCATAAGCAACCAATTTCAACAAAAAATATTATGGCATTCACCCATCAATCAATCTTCAACTCTGATAGATAGAGATTAATTAGTTAGCTAGCTACAACATGCAACATGGCTTAGTTAGAGTATTTCTGGGGATTGGGCCTCTGATTACTGTACAAAAACACAACTATATCAGTGATTTGGGTGAAACTGCATAATTTTTTTATGGTTTTCTCTCTGATGCGGCTTTGCTTCAACTCCGCTACCTGTCGATAGCGTGCATAAAACACAGACAGAGTGGCCTGTTTGACGACAGTGGTACGGAGTTTCCTCATGAAAAGTAGTGCTGTCAGTTAAACGCATTATTAATGGCGTTAACGCAAACCCATTTTAACAGCGGCAATTTTTTTATTGCGAGATTAACGTTCTTTTTGACCTAGCACACTTTTTTTTCACATGCTGTTGCAACAACTAGTAACGTTAGAAAAACTACAACACCACACCGGATCAAGCTAGAACGGAAACAAAATAACAGGCACGCCGCACACACTTGTTCAAGAGTAAGAGACATTATGTTTTGAGTGGATGGCGAGCGCGAGACGCCGAAATGTATGCCAATAATATTCTGAATGGAAAGTTTACTTTTAAAAAGTTGCCAAATGGTTCCATTGACAAGACCAAAGTGATTTGTGTGTTTTGTCGTTGTGAACTTAGCTATCATCGCAGCCATCCAGTCTGAAATACCACTTGATGGCCAAGCACACGCCCCCTCGTCAAATAAGTATTAGGCCATGGTTTAACTGCACTATAGGCAGAGTCCTAGTTTACCTTACATGTGCAATGTGTTGTAATTTTATTTTGTATCGCCCTGTTTTGATCCCTTAGAAAGGGCTGTTGAAGGGGCTGTTTGTGTGAAAAAGTATTTTTTTCATCCTTTTATTGATGGACAGGGTCAGTGTTACATTGTGTGAGAGATTATTTGCTCCACGTGAGAATGTTTGTGTGAAATTGAACACTACAGTATGCCAATGTTGTTTTCAATAAAAAAAACATTTGCACAAAGCAAGCCGATCCACTTTTCCGTGTTGATAAGAGCATTAAAATGAGAAAAAATAATGGGACAATCAAGGGACATTTAGAATAGATAAAAATGTGCGATTAATTGCGAGTTAACTATGACATTAATGCGATTAATCGCGATTAAATATTTTAATCGTTTGACAGCACTAGCTAAAAGTATTCCATTTTGCCAATCAGTGTTACACACTGGAAATTTTTTTAATGGCAAATGTGTGGTCTGTACATTGGGCCCCAGATTTACTTACATAATTTTTTGCCCTCACAATCTAATTAAAGCTTGTGTTTGAACTGATTGCTCACAGCAGACATTGTGTTGCGTTGCAGCACAAAATGAGCTAGGTCCAGTTTCTTGCTGGACAACCCCTGCTATGCTGGAGCCCTCTGGAGCCCCACTGGGTCAACCCTGTGGGCTCATTGACATGAATAATGGTGGAGTGCTAATGAGTCTTAACACTGCTTAAAGGCATACTATGCAAGATTTGCACCTTAATATAACAGCTTCGAAGTCATTTCGATGGTAAACGAACTCGTAGTATAGTGAATCATACCGATAGCAACGCTGGGGAGGGATGCCGCTGGCAGACCCAGCAATGCAAGTCTGAAGATGGCGCCCCGCCTAATCTCTCGAGAATCACGAATTGCTTTACGGCGCGACGTGACATACATCAATGACATAAGAAGCAGCCTCAATGGAAGACGTTACCTGGTCAGTAGACATCTTCGGAGTCTATCTCTGAACACGTACCGGTATACAGGGAGGAGGGGATCAGGCCGTGTGTGCAGAGACGCAGAGCCGTATATAGAGACGGCTCTGGTGAGTGGTATTTACGACAGTTAACGTTAAATACAAGTACTCCGCAGCGACTCTAGGGGTAGCTGTTTGACAAAACCGGAAAACTGCATAGTATGCCTTTAAGGCAGCTGCTGTGACTTACTAGGCAAAAAAAACATTATTATTACTATCATTATTATTATCATTTTTAATTAATTTTGTGTAAATGGGTTGTTTTGTTGAAGGGTAGCTAGGCAGTATGACTGTTGTACATTATGAAGTAAACCACTTTGTTCCTTTCTTCCTCCCTTAGGTCTCAGGAAAATGTCTTGCCAGATCCCAGCGACTGTGTGTCTAGAACCAGGCAGCAGCCGGTCTTAACAAACCCACACAATTTCTCTTTGGATATTCGGATGCCTGGTGTTGTCCCAGCTGGAGTGAGTCTGTTTCTCTGAAATGTACTTCTTTGACAGGGTTAAAAAGCAAGAGTATCTCCAGCTTTAGACTGTGATAGACATTTTTTACTATATTGTTTTACTAATTTTTTTTTAATAGACCAAACAATTAATTTGTTTATTAATACAATATGCAGCAAATTAGTTAATAATAAATACCCTAACCCTAAAACAACTAATCAGAGCCAACAAAGATGATTGATTGCTCAGTCTCATTCCCAGGTGTCAAATAACCATCCAAAACAATGAAAATCAACAATCATCAAGCCACTAACCCAAAGTGTCTTTCTATCTTTCTCAGCTCTCATTGGTTGTTTGCATTCAGGCCTGTAGATTCTTGCAAAGGTCAATTAGGAGAAATCGGAGGAGCCTGATTTTTTTTTCACAAATTATCTGTCTCATGTACTATTGTCAGGATATAGCGAAAGTTTTAGCAAATAACTTAATTTATAAAAGTTAAATACTTAAGACTTTATCGCTTTTTTACCCCCAAATAATTACATCCCTAGTACCTACTGTTTTTCGTATAACTATAATTGTCTTATCAAACTGATCAAGTGGGTTCTTGTTATCTTTTATAATGCAAGAACTTTTCATGGAGATATTCGGAAACCTTACCTACATTTCCACCAAAGTAAATATTTCTCAGCTAGACTTCATGGTGTAAAATAAGTTCTGTTCTGGGGTAGTACTTACCTATGGCCCAGGAACTACACATGCATTAACAGGACACATATTGTATTTTAAATAATGTTTTACTCTAAACATGACTGACTCTATTTTTCAGTAATGAATAACATAATTGTGTTCTTTAATGTTTCAGTCGGACACTTACCTGTGCATGGCATTTCCTGTACCAACTAGTCGAGATTCGTATATTGGTGAGTATATCTTCTTTAAAAATCATTGGTTACAACACAGGCTAGATGGTACTTTTCTGAGAGATGATGTGGGTCAACTGTATGCTGTTAGATAGGATGCCAAAGTAAGAGTAGTAGTAAACGTAACAAACAGTTCTAGTAGACATAGTGATGGTAGTAGATGTAGAATAGTGGTAAAAGAAAGAAGAAGTGATAGCAGCAGCAGTAGTAGGCGTACTAATAAAAGTAGCTTGTTTGTGTGTCTACATTATTTATGATCCTTTGGTTGTGTACAGATTTCTTGACAAGTATCTGCATATTATAACTTGACAATATGGATTTATTAACCATGTTTAGGGATGTGACTGCTGCCTTCCTTTAATTTAATCTTAAATTGGTGATTTTCTTTCTCTCTTTCTTTGGTCTGACTTTGATGACACTGTGGTGTATAAATAAAGAAAAAGTCTGTTTACACACTAAAGGGCTGCAAAATGTATTAAGCACCCTGCAATATTTGCTGTTCTTGATCTGAGGGGCACGTAATACAGCCCACAGTTTGTGTTTGAATTAGCTTAGATGGCATAATCAAGTTTAGATGGAAATGGTCAGTGACAATTGATTCAGCGTACCTGAGGCGTTTCATTAAATATTAATTAATGTAACCACAGTGCTTTTCTTCCACAGTGGACTTCATACCTCATGCCAGTATGGACACAGTCCATCACATGTTACTGTTTGGCTGCCAGACCCCTGTCTCCACCACCAGCTATTGGTAATACTCAACGCCAGGTCACAGCTCAGTGTTTACAGAGTCTGAATCTGAAATTAAAATTTTATTGGTAAAGTAAAAAGTTTAAATACAAAAGGCTTCAACAAGGTTTTTAGGGCTGGCCCGAATACCAGTGTGTATGTCTGTATGTATACAGCAGTGTACAGCTGTGGTCGATTACATTGTTTTTTAACTATATTAGTAGTGCACACAATTTTAGAGCTGGTTAGAGTAATAATTAGTTTAGTTTTAGTTTTACAAGTTACAGCTTGTAAGCCAAAAATGTAATACTAATTTAAATATCCGTGTAATAATAATATCTATTGTATTGTGCCCCTCTGGTTTTCTCCTGGTTTACAAACTTGGTTTGGTAGTGGAACCTCTCTGTTGCCATTTGACTAAGGCCTTCTGGATATACCATGACCTGGATGATTGCGAATCCTCACAGAGTGACAAGTTACTGTAGCCTGTTACTTTACTACTGTTTTAATGACATTTTTAGTTAACACAAACTGATTGATTGATTCATTCATTCATTGTAATTAATTATTTATTGACTGAGATTGATTGATTGATTGCGACTGTGATTGTGATTGAGTCAATCATAGTTACAGTATTGTCAACAGTATAGATTAAATTAATTTATTATAAATATTGTTTTCCTTTATTGTTACTATTATAATTTTTAATTCCAAACGCTTGCTTTAGCAATATGTACAGTGTTACGTCATGCCAATAAAGCCATTTGAATTGAATTGAATTGAATTGACAAGTAATAATTAAGGCTGCCCCTGAAAAGTCGATGATTCGAATCATCAGTCGAGAGTGAGTAATAGTCAACAGAGGGCAGCGTGACGCTGGACAGTTGGACAGTGGCTGCTCTGATTGCTCTGGTGCTGACAGTCAGTAAAGTCTCTAAACTACTTTAGAACCAGACACTGGTCCAACCTCCTCAACTGCCATCCATTGTGATTTAGCCTGACAGGAAAGATACTCTGTGGTGGTTGTGGGATTTTATAACTGAACTATGAGCAGGAAGCATACTTTTACTTTTTCTGACTGTGTGGAAATCAGATTTTTTCACCATCACAAATGACGAAGAAAGGCATTCAAATGTGAGGTACGATAAAACATGATACTTTACCACAGGGACAACAAATAGTAAAATTTTACACTGGCAAAACTCAGTCGGGTAGAGCCCTAGTAATATGTTTTGCCTGATTGTAGGTGCCTTCAGATGTTCTTTCCATCCAAACACTACAGCAATTGCCTTACCATACTAGGTGTTTTATTGCTCTGCATCAACCTGTGCCATTCACTTTTTTTCCCCATCTGATCATCTATAAACACAAAGTGGTATCGATTGTGTCATTTGTCTCTTAAGGGACTGTGGCAGTGTACAAGGTACTTGTGAGGATGAAGCTTCCATTATGTATGCCTGGGCTCGGAATGCACCACCCACTAAATTACCAAAAGGTATGTCTCTCAAAGGGTTGGTTTACAATTACTAAAAGTAAAATTTATTTACTGACCTCAACTTTTACCTAGCCATGTGGAGAGTTTTGCCACAAATGTCCAGGTTTTGAAATCTTTAGAGATTTTTGCCACCTAACCAATACAATAGAGGTACATTAAATTTATTTTATGATGCTTATATTATTAAAAAATAGCATGTCTTTCCAGAAGCAGTGTCCCTGTTACTCTGTATAATCCACAGACATCACTGCTTACTGTTTTTAAAAGGATTATTTCTTGAGTAAAAAGTACTGAAAATGCATGAGGTGAATACAGATCATGAATGGTCAAGTGTTGGTTTTTATATACAGTTAAACATCTCTCTATATTTTGTCCCTCAGTTGAATTTCTCCTTTTGGTTTCATTTCTTTGTCTAACCTCCGTTAATCTGTTGTGGTCTTCTCAGATGTTGGTTTTAAAGTTGGAAGAAATTCCGGAACATCCTACTTTGTGCTGCAGATTCATTATGGAGATGTCACTGCTTTCAGAGGTGAGTTTTAATGGCAGTTACATACATTTATGTACATTTATGTTCCAAAGATATTATTTATATTACATCAAATCCAGTAAACGGCTGGAAAGATAAATAGTGTGTATAAATAATAATCCAACTACTACAGCAAGAGTTTTCACTGCTTAGTAACATTTTCCCTCAGCTAAATTTTATTTAATAAGCAACTAAAATAAAGTCTATGTGAGAAACACAGCATGATCCTTCTTCGACCTGACCTTAAAAAAAACTAAGCACTCAAATACTGATTTGGAGGATGAATGCTAGTTTGGTGATTGCCTGACTGAGCCTCTTGTGCCACCAGAAATTTTCACTTATTCTATGAAATATTGCAACATCTACCAGATGGTTAGGTGCAAATTTTGGTTTAGTTCACATTTCCCAGAGGATGAATCCTTATGACTTTTTGTTGAGCTTGTTGTCCTGTTTATTCATGCTATTTATTATAGTCTGTGTTTGTACATAGAGACTAAAACCGGAGTGAAATTCCTTATATGTGTGCATTTACCTGGCCAGTAAAAGTGATTCTGATTCTGACTTTGGTTATAACCCTCTTTTGTCTAGTGTCATCATAAGGATTGCCATGAAAGTTTTTACACACCTTCATGCCCTACTCAGGATTAATCGTTATCACTTTGGTTTGTCTAATACTTTAGTTTATGACCAAATACAAGAAAAAATTACATTCCAAGCGGCCTCAGCTTTGCTTTGTGTTTAGTGCTAATTAGCAAGTGTTAGCATGCTAACACGCTAAACTAAGATGTGTTGGCATTTAGCTCAAAGCACCACTATGCCTAAAGTACAACTTCATAGGGCCACTTGCATGGCTGTGGACTGTAGGGATGGGACAATATGCAATATTGTTATAATTAACGCACTAAAAAACACTATAAACTTCTGTGCAGTGTTATGGTGCTAAGGTGAAAAGTCTTAAAACTTTTGGTTGTATCACTTAAACTGACCTGCTTGGATCGTATTTTATCATCTCATAATAAGTAAGTAAAACGATACAATCCCAACAACGAAGAACCTAGGGATGGGACAATATACAATATTATCACGTATCGTGATAAAAAAAACACTCAAATACATTTATTGTGGTGAATTTCCATTATTGTGATAATCGTTTTTTTAACAAGGGCACAAGGGCATCACATACACACATCAGAGAGGTGGTAATTCAACTTGGTAAATGGTAAATGGACCTGTACTTGTTTAGCCTTTCTAGTCTTCCAACCACTCAAAGCACTTTTACACTACGTGCCACATTCACCCTTTCACACACATTCACTCAGCGAACAGAAACTAACACATTCATACACATTCACACACCGATGCACAGCATTGAGAGCAATTAGGGGTTCAGTATCTTGCTCAAGGATACTTCGACATGTGGCAGGAGCCGGGGATCGAACCAACAACCTTCCGCTCTTCCTCTGAGCCACAGCCGCCCACCTTAAAGTCTCTTTATGATTTACTTTGTTGTGCTTTTGAATTGTACTGTATCATTTTTAAAGCTGTTTCTAACATACCATAACATACCACTTCTCTTTATATGATTTATGGAAATGTCAACTTTGGTGATGTTAGTGCTCAGAAAAGTTGTTTTTTTTCTGCAGACCATCATAGAGATTGCTCAGGACTTACCTTAAGAATGACGTCAAAACCGTAAGTATTAACTTAAGCATTAAGTTTTCTGTCAAATGCTAAAATGAAAAATCTTACGAGAGGGATTTGTGAAATTGGTGCTTGTTGGGTATGAACAAAGAGTGGCACATAGTGTAGCATGTTCTCCCAGGGGAGAATAATTGATAGGAAATGTCTGACCAAAACATTACAGCCTTCTAGCCTCTAACTGTGGCTCTCCTCAAAGGCAACCCTTCATTGCTGGCATTTACCTGCTCATGTCTGTGGATACGGTTATCCTTCCAGGAAAAAAAGGTATGTTTAATGTATTTTTTCTACATGTGAATTTGTAAAGCTTATATTTATTTCCTCTTATAGGTTTCATTTTGTCAGTTTTTACAGTTATTAGGAAAATGTACTCATAATATAGACTTTGTTATTATGAGACACTTCTGTTGGGGCATAATGATACCTGTGCAATGAGGACTACCTTTATTACTTATTTATTTGCCATGCCTATTGTTTACTAAAGGAATAAATCTGGTTACACTTTCATCTGCACAATAGTGCTACCATTCTGTATCGTGGCCAATAAAAAGCAAAACTGAAAACTGTTCTTATTGATACCTTTGATTTACCAGAGGAAATTGTGTTTCATGTATTTTGATAGACATTTGCATTTATTCTAAAAAAAAACCTCAATATTACATGGACAGTGTTTTGAACCTTTGGAGGGGTGTGTGTCTGCCAAATGAAGCCATATAGAAAGGGTAAAAAACTAACCCCATTGCAACAGCAGCAAGCTACTACAAAATTGTGGTGTAACAAAAAATATGAACATTATTTATTTAATTTACCTTTTCAAAAGTAATTAGGTCAGCTTTCATATTTGCAAGTTAGTCAAATTTAAATGTATGCCTGTAAGAAGGCTTTGTTGGCTTCAAAGGCTGAATTCATTTCAATTCTGAGTAGTAGCCTAATGAGTAGCATTAAATGTGAAATCTGGATGAAATGTATCTCCTATGTGAAATGCACTCATACAGTGAAATATCAGCTGTAGACTCCACTTCCCCTGACTGTACAAAAATGAAGCCAAAATAGCCCAGATTACAGGCGGTGCCATCTTTTTGCCTGATCATGGCTTGAAACACTTGATCATACATCAGTGTGATAAAAACTACCTAAAATGCCAGACACCATCTTTGGGAAAAATATATTTGACGTGTACTTGGATTTCTTAGTTTGGCCCATGTCCCGTCTTTTAACGTGGAGGCAGTGGGATTTATAACCTATGCTGCCACCAACCACCAGGGGGCAATCAAGCTGTTTTGGCTTCACTTTTAGAGAGCTGTTATGTCTCCCATCTTTATATATGTCAATGGTCAGAGCTTGACAAATAAGAATTTTCTGTCAACCCGATCAAACTAGAACTGCCTATCAGAACCCAACACCGTTTTGATGATGTGCATCGAAACACTGACAAATATTGTTGTCTATGAAAGCAACAATATGTAAGGGTTGTCATATCCCAGTGTTGACACTTGTGTTCATTTTTGTAAAATAATGTTTAGTTAAGGCAGTTAATGTACCCTAGCTGCAAAAAACTAAAGAACAAATCCACAATTGGTCTACATAGTCCACATTTAAATGATGCTGTTGGACAGGATAGGGAGGCCAGAAAAGTAATCACAGATTGGATCTCCTTTGACATTCCTCAATTTTTTTTCCTTAGTTACAAATGCAGACATCGCCTGCGATTACACTTCATATCCCATCTACCCGTTTGCCTTCAGGACCCACACACACCACCTTGGTGAGTCATACCAGTTAAACTGAGCAGTTTGTCATGTTAGTTTTATCCATATCAGTCACAGTCTGAATGAGTGTTTCTGTCACAGGTAAAGTGGTCAGTGGCTACAGGATCCGAGATGGGAAGTGGAGCATGATTGGAAGACAGTCCCCTCAGCTACCACAGGTACATTTTCACACCAGAAGGCAACAAAATATTTTTAGGGAGCCACGGAAGCTGAATGCTTAAAGGCTGCGTGCGTGCCCCATAATTTTAATGTCCCTGGTTTGTGTCTGGCCTGGGGACACCTCTAAAGCTTGATAATTACTGCTTTATATTTCGTTTTTTTTATCTGTAGAAAACCGAAGTCAGAAAAGTGTTAGCTTTGAACAGAGCTAGGCTAGTTGTTTCTCCCTGTTTCTCCCTGTTTCTCTTTTTATGCTAAGCTAAGCTAACTGGCTGCTAGCACTTTTATCAACAATTTTGCTAATTGATAAGCCATTTAAGCCATTTATCAAGCAGTGTGCCAAAACTTCTCTGGTTCCAACTTTTCCAATGTGATGATTTTCAGTATTACATCATTATAATTTGAGTTAGGATTGTCCCAAAAACATATTTTCACTACACAACTAACATGGCCAAAAGACTTCATGATACCTATGTTATGGCAATATCTATGGAACATTTTAAAAACAAATATTAATGCTTCAATTCAAATTCACCTTTTATTGTGTGTTTAGTCTCTTTTTTGACAAATGAATTACACTCAAAATACGAGAGTTAGGAGGTGGAAAGAGAGTCTGTAACCATAACTGTACAAAAGTGAACAAAGAGAACGATAATGTCAGAGACAAACAGAAATTATTTAAAGGTCCAGTATGTAACATTTAGGAGGATCTAGTTAGAAATGGAATATAATATTTATAGGCGTGTTTTCATTTGTATATAATCACCTATAAATCGTTTTCGTCATCTTAGAGTGAGCCTACAGACACTGCTGGTCACCTTTACGGAGCCCCTAAAGGGGCATGGAAAAAGAAAAAAGAAACGTTTCTAGTGCGCACTAGATTCTATCTTGTGAGCATGAGATACGGATCGTGTGTTGTGGCGAATCAACACATGGCTCATTTGAATATATGTATAATATATATATAAAATTAGCCATGTGTTGATAGGTCACGACAGGAAAATGTAACCAATGAAATTACTTATTTTGACACACATTTTAAGCCAATAAGTATTAAACTAACAAGGTAATGTGTCAAAAGGCGGACCGTTTTTGTTATTTTCTCAAAAGGAGGACAAATGTCCGCTGCAGGACAGGGCATTTAAATGCGGACTGTAACAAAAAAGGTTACAGATTAATTTACATTTATTTTTTAGTTGCAGACAAATTAATTTAATACTCATTTGAATATTGAAATTAGCCATGTATTGATTCGCCACAACACGGGATCCGTATCTAGTGGATACTATCTAAACTAGATAGGGATCTAGTGCGCACTAGAAACGTTTCTTTTTTTTTTTTTTCCCATGTCCCTTTAGGGGCTCCGTACACCTTCCATGGAGTTGGATGTTGAACCACCATGTTTCTACAGTACAGAATGGACAAACCAAACACTGGCTCTGAATAGTGCTGTTTGCATTTTCGTGCATTTTGCAGCAACCGTAGTTTCTCCCTTGCTTAAAAAGGGAGGGTGAAGCGAGTGAGTTGCATTCTGAAACTGTACTGCTAGATGCCACTAAATCCTACACAATAGAGATTTAAGAGGCACTGGATTATTTACACAATATTATTGTATTATATGTGTATTAATAACATGATATCAACTTCATTTTTTAAATATCACTGTTATTGTCAATACTGGTATATCGCGACACCCTTAATTTGAATCAGTGTTTTGGACTATTGGTCAGGACGAAACTAGCATTTTGAAAATAAATGTGTCAAATAACTCCAACCCAATAAAAACAAAATGCAGTAGTTTATCTCATATTGTATTGTTCATTGTAATTAAAATAAGTTAAAAATATCTTCATAAACATGGCACGCATTCCTAGTTTACCAATGCCTCAAGAACTACGTGTCTCTAAGAGCCATAAGTTCTTAGGCTTCCATTTGTAAGAGCATGGCTCAAGGTCCAGTTAGCATATTCTACTGACATTCTGAGTGTTTGTGAACTTGTCTTGTGTGATGCCAATGCCAAAAAAGGCAAGAAAAAGTTCAGGCTCCAACTGTACAGTATGTTTGTGAGATATTTTTACTTATTAGAAAGATATTTATAATAATTAAGGCTTGCTCTACTATTAACAAAGGCCTCCAATGCCCATGTCCGAAGATATTTCAATATCCAAATTTTCTTTCCATTCTTCAATGTGTTGTGATCTGTAGATTTTTTGGGATTATACTCATTATACAGCTATTTTATTAGTGGATTGATCTTTGAATGAACCAATCACGACATTGTGTAGCATTCTAAACCTCTTACATATATTAGTGATAACAGAAACATGATTTACAAAGATAGGGCCCCATGTCTCTTTAATCATCTTGTCCAGGTTGCCCAACTCTTCTGAGGAGTCAATAATTGTGTGTAAAGGTGTGTACTGTGACTAATACGACTGAATTTATGACGAAGAATGTGTATTGATAACAGCAATTTTTCAAGTAGAGTGCTGTTTGCTGTTTTCTCTCCAGGCTTTCTATCCTGCTAACAAGGAGTTGAACGTGAAGAATGGCGACACCATTGCAGCCAGATGTATGTTCACTGGTGAGGGCAGAACCTCCAAGACTTATATTGGGTGAGTTCTGTTATAAAACCCAATACACCTAATGCACCATTTAAACTGTATTGTAGATTATCTATAACTCAAAAGTACCTTCTAATTTTTATGTGTTATGTATTTAAATATATGGAAGGAAATAAGGATCATTCATATTTTTATATTGTGAAATGATGTTCACAAATAATTTCACAGCTTGCAGTTGTATATCACATTTTCTGTGCACGTGAAAGAAAATGCATGCACTTATCTCAATGTGGGAATTTGTAAAATAAATACAATCTTACAAATTTGAGCTCGTAAATATGTCATAAAGTTTTGCAGCTGTAGAAATATTCTGGACAAGTTGTGTGATGCAGATATAGTTTGCATTTGCAAAAATGTTTTATGTTTCATAGCTATAGAAATATTTTGTTGTTTGCATGAATTTTGACCCTGTTTTTAAACCTGAGCTGACACACTTAATTTACTCATTTTGGTAAAACTGGATCATATCCAAATAGTTCCGGGTTTTCCCATTGACAGAGAGTTGACGCAGAGCACCCTGAAGACATCAGTGGGAAAACTTCAGGTTATGAATATAACCCCGGTTCTCTGAGTGTGTGTCTCACTATGGGGAACGCCTACTGCTTGACCTCGTCAGAAGGTCAAATAACATTACGCCTGCCCTAAGTGGCTGGCACTAATGACGTCTATGTCAGGAGGGGATGGGACCCATCTCCTGTATAATAGGTTGATTAGTGTCATTTGTCATTCAAAACAAGGTCAGCTCTTCCTCGCTTCTATAGCAAGGAGGGTGGTCTGGTGAGACACCAGGGGTTATATTCATAACCTTACATTCTCTTTCATAGCATTCGATTTGTGTCTCACTATGGGGAAAAGAATAACGACTCCCGGATTGCCTGTAAAGAAGACAACTGTCCCCTGTGGCACTTCACAAGCGAGGAGCCACACTGAATGTACCAGAGCTGGAGCCATTACATCCAACCTATAAAACCTAGCAAATGTGTGGGGTGAGTTCCAGCATGCAGCTGCACACCCCTCTTCAATAGAAGGATTACAACAAGTTCGCTAGACCCCTGGTGGAATGTGCACGGAGACCATCGGGAGGCTCTAGGCCCTTGCTGGCATAAGCCAGAGCAATAGCCCCCACTTATCCAGTGGGAAAGACGCTGTTTGGACACAGGCTTTCTCACATGAGTCTTTGCCCAAGACACAAATAACTGGTTACCCTGTCTGAAACTTGGGGCCCTGTCCAAATAAATTTGCAGTGCACAAACTGGACACAGAGTATGCAAACGCCAGTGCTTCTCAGAGGAGAAAGGCAGGGGATAAAAAGCAACCAGGTCTATAGTGGAGCACAAGCCCATAACCTCTGGGATAAAGGCCGGGTTAGGTTTCAGACTGACATTAGCATTCCCTGGAGAAAACTTTTTACATTCCTGATGCACAGAAAGTGCATGGATCTCACCTATATGCTTAGCCGAGGCTAAAGCTAGCAATAAGGCGGTCTTCAGGGACAACATTCTCAACACTACTTATTGCAGTGGTTCAAAAGTGGGACAGGAGAGAGTGTCTAGTACACTGGTTAGAGCCCATGACGAGGCTAATGGTCTAGATGTAAGCAATTTACGCCATGCACCCTTCATGAATCGCCCACTGACTTCCCATCAAAGCCAATGTTGTAGGCAGAGATAGCTGCCAAGTACACCTTGATGGTTGAGAAGGCCCTACCTTTCTCAATAAGGTCCTGTAAAAAGGTCTGAATCGCTGCCACAGAACACTGACAATGGACAGCTTCTGACTCTGAACACTAGCTCTCAAACACATGCCCCTTATGCTCATATAACATCCTAATCGAAGACTCTCTGGAGCACTGAATAGTGTTAATAACACTATGAGGGAGTCCAACTGTATTCATGTTGAACCACTCATGGACCAAGCCCATAGAGCTAGGCTGCATTGTAAAGGTTCCATCTTCCCTTCACTGTTCTCCCCTCGTGAGTGGCACCCCAGCCCATCAGAGAGGCGTCTGGGGTGATCACCTTTCTTGCCAGTACGGTTCCCATGGTAACACCTTCAGTCAGGAAAACCTGGGTTTTCCACTGGCGAAGTGCTTGAGAGCAGTCTGCTGAAATCCTCACCTGATGGTGGCCATCACGGTGTGGATTCAGGCCCAGAGAGGCTACCCAGTTATGTGTCATTGTGCTCTTTTTTTCACATTTATCTTAAAACCCAGATTCGGTCTGTCTTTGAGGGGAGAGATGGAGCCGAGGAAGAGAGGGAGGCCTTTGGTTGAAGGTGGGTCGCTACCAGCGGCTCTATTGGGGGCATCTGGCGAACGCCGTGAGACTCAATCCCCTCACAATCCTTCAGGGTGGCTCCCATGATGGGGTGTTTTTCACTGTAGGGCTATTCTTTCCATCCAGGTGTCGCGTCCAAGCTCTCGGAGATGTCCACTTTTCCCTGCGGCGTTGCTGCTTCCCCCCGACAGGCTAACCCGGCGGGGAAGTAGTTTACAGGGGAAAGCAGTGCAGTGGATATACTCATCAGTATGGGTTAGGGTAGTCTGGGCGTGGGGTAAGCACAAAGGGGGAATGTACCAGCCAGAGATTTTAATGCTGCAGGGACAAAGCTTCAAGCTTTTCCCGACATCACTGGTGTTAATAGCCGTAGCCATGGTTGGCTAGTGATCTGCATCTGCTGATGCTACCTGTTACAAGGTATTGCTCCCTGCTGGTATTGCTAGCGTGACCCTTATTAGCAGAAGTATTGCTACTTTTTTGGGGCAAAAGTATTGCTACTTTTTTGGGGCAAAAGTATTGCTACTTTTTTGGGGCAAAAGTATCCCTACTTTAAACCCGAGTCAGTGAAGAGTATTGCTACTGTTCGTGAACCAGCAAGCAACTGTACAGCTGGGAATAAAGCGCCCGGTGCACCCATTCCTTTGGATAGTTTAGTTTAGCACCCAATAGCACGGTTGTCGATGCGCTTCTGTGAGAAGTGAGAAGAGGTTTTTGAATGACAATTGACACTGTCAGCCTATTATATTGGAGGAGGGTCCCATCCCCTCCTGACATAGACGTCATTCGTGCCAGCCAGTTAGGGCTCTGACGAGGTCACGCAGGAGGCATTCCCCATAGTGAGACAAGAAAAGAATGCTATGAAAGAACCAGAAAATACTTTCTCAGAAAATGTGATCCAGTTTTATTAAAATCAATGAATAAAGTTAAAAAGTTTTTGTACAGTTTGACTTATTCTGATTAGATGGTCTGTGGATAACGTTTTGATTGACTATTTAGCTCAGTTGTCCTGGCCAAATTTTAATCAAAAAACGCAAAATATTTAACTTTCACACATTAACCAACTTGAATTTGCTCATTTTTTTCTTTGAAAATTCACACATTCAGATACATGCATGCATATTTTTTCACATGCACATAAAATGTGATATACAACTGCAAGCTGTACAATCATTTCCCAAGCTCAAAATATTAATGACTCTGATTTGCTTCCATTGAAATATGGTTTACAGGCTTTCATTATAGGTGTGCAAGACAGGCACTGTGGCTGTTCTCCAATGACACACCTTTGTTTCTTAACACTTGCTGTCTGATTACTCATGCAGTGTCACAACTTTGTAAATACTGTATACACCATATGCATTTAAAGGTGGGGTCAGTCATTCTGGAGAAAAATAGTTGATTGTTGAGTCTCCTTCACAGGTGAAATACCGAGGCTTTGAGAGCACAAAAACTACATATGTGTGTCTCGGACGACCTGGGAATGAGACCCAACATAACAAACAAACTATCTTTCTCCAGAATGACTGTCCCCACCTTTAAGGGGGAGGAAAGCAGTATAACCAATCTTTCAGATGAAAACACCTCTGTGTTAGAAAAAAATGCAAGGGTCTACTAGGCATGGAACAATCAGGAAGCAAATAGTGCCTGGTGAGCCCTATTTACAAGCAGATATTAAGATACTAAACATTCATGGAGACGCCTTGCCTGAAAATCAACTCTTTCTACAAAATACTGTGGAAAACTACAAAGGTAGATCAGTGTTAAGTATGCCTTTTAGTGTTTTGTGGACTTCCCAGAAATGTCCTATTACATGACATGTAATTGGCTTCATGAAACCCATACTCCAACATTTAACATCCCCAGCAGCAAAATATGCTTTCTGCTTCAGTGTAATAAAGAAACTGATAAACATACACTTCCACCTAAACTCCCACCACATGTGACGGGGTTCCCACGTGTCCTAGAAAACCTGGAAAAGAGAGAAGGTGTTATGTTAAACAGAGGAACCCACAAGCAGAACACAAACTCGGTTGGTTATGATTTCCAAAGACAGGCTTTTTTTGAGAACCAACTGATGAAACGGTGATGTGGAGCTCCTGCTGGCAGTGTTGAGAGGATTATGGCTGAGATCCAGGCAGAGTGGAACTGAAGATGGAGGCAGTGTGGCTGATACGAAGGAGCGGGCAGGTAGTTGAATAAGATATTGTCTGTGGCTGAAAGTGCTCCTGAGCTGCCTGAGCTCAGTGTAGAGAGGATGAGAGGGGTTGTCCATGATGGCTTTCAGCTTCCCTTTCATCCTCTTCTCCGTTACAGCCTCCACACTGTCCATCTCCATCCCCACCACCGAGCTGGCCTTCCTCACCAGCTTGCTCAGCTTGTTGGCACCCCTAGTCCCGATGCCTCCTCCCCAACAAACCACCACAAAGAAGAGGAAACTGGCCACTAAAGACTGGTAGAACATCCATAGTAGCCGAGTGCACACGTTGATGTATCCTGTTCTTGTAACAGTCTTTGGCCCTCCTCAGCTCCTTCTGAGTGTCTTTCTTGGTCCATGGCTTGTTGTTTGGGAAACAGCGAATCCTTTTGGTGGGGATAATGCTGTCCTCACAGAACCTGATGTAGTCTGTGACACACTTGGCGAGACCCTCGATGTCATCTCTGTGGTCTTCCTGGAACAATTCCCTGTTGGTTGTCCTATAACACTCTATCATGGGCTCCTCTACTTCCCCTGACCACTGCTGCACAGTCTTGGTGGTGTTGGACTGTCTCCTCCTAACAGCAGGCCTGCATGTAGGAATAAGCTGTATCAGGCAGTGGTCAGATTTGCCGAGGGGGGGGGTGGCGCTGTATGCCTCCTTTACATTGGCATACAGCAGATCCAAGGTATTTTCCCCTCTGGTGTTACAGGTGACATACTGGGTAAAGTTGGTCAGGGTCCTTTAGATTTTGGCATGATTCAAATCTCTGTTTATTATGATGAATGCGCTGGGATGAAATGTCTGCAGGTCCGCCACGGCGCACGCCTGTGACGTCATCTTGATTAAGGTGGTCAATGTGCAATTCACTTGATTATTATGTAATTCTTTGTAATTATCTATAATTCTGCAACTCCACAATCTTAAAACTCATTACTATTTATTTAAATTCTGTCAGCAATGTTGTGAAATATGTTTACATTTATGTTTAGATTTATATTTACTATACTCTTACTATATTTCTATTTTCCATTTTTATTTTTACTTTTTACTATATGTTATTTCTATTCTATATATTGTGTTCGATTTTGTATATAAGTACTATTTCTTTAACGTTGTGTAAGTAGAACAACTGTAACGAATTTCCCCCCAGGGATCAATAAAGTATTTCTGATTCTGTTACCAGTTGCTATTATTGTTTCTGTGCACATTTGTCTCTGTCGTTGTCCTTCTGTTATGGTCAGTAGTTTCCTCCTCCCTGGTGTCCCTGTCTCTCTCTCTGTGGACTCCTTTCACTCTCCCTGATTACCTGCTCACCTGTCTGACTGCTCAAACCTGCCAGCAGTCCTGCAGTATATACACCCTGGTTCTTCATCCACTCTCCGCCAATGACAATGGTGGCCAAAAACTCACAGGGCAGATAGTATGGCCTTACTTTAGAGGGAAAAATAAGAGGGGCTGTGGGAGCTGTGCGTCGAGCTGCCACTCTCTGTGGCGCCGGAAGTAGAAGTGAAGATGATGATCCTGAGGTACGGGAAAAAACAAGGTTTAGTTTGTCAGTATAAACGGGAAAACACGTATTTTAAAGTTCTCTTGCTGGCCAAGAATGTTACTACCAGGCATGTAGAGACAACGATATGGCGGAGAGTGGATGAAGAACCAGGGTGTATATACTGCAGGACTGCTGGCAGGTTTGAGCAGTCAGACAGGTGAGCAGGTAATCAGGTAGAGTGGGAGGAGTCCACACACACCGAGAGAGAGACAGGGACACGAGGGAGGAGGAAACTCCAGCAACTACTGACCATAACAGAAGGACAACAACAGAGACAAATGTGCACAGAAACAATATTAGCAACAACTATACTGGTAGAAGTGACTAATAATGATGACGATAACAACAAGGCCCTCCGTAATGCCAGAGGAGCCTATTACTCAGCACTAATAGAAGAAAATAAGAATAACCCTAGGTTCTTCTTCAGCACTGTAGCCAGGCTGACAGAGAGTCACAGCTCTATTGAGCCACATATCCCCATAAACTTAAGTAGCAATGACTTCATGAGCTTCTTCTATAATAAAATTATTACTATTAGAGAAAAAATTAATCACCAACTGCCATCAACAGTTATCAGTGGCTCTCCAAGTTCAGGGACTTCTGTCAATGTAAACTTAGACATATATTTAGACTGTTTTTCTGCTATCGATCTTCATCAGTTAACTTCAATCATTTCTTCATCGAAGCCATCAACCTGTCTATTAGACCCGATCCCAACTAGGCTGCTTAAAGAAGTTGTTCCCTTAATTGGCACTTCTTTACTGGATATGATTAATCTTTCTTTATTATCAGGATATGTACCACAGTCCTTTAAAGTAGCTGTAATTAAACCCCTTCTTAAAAAGTCCACTCTTGACCCAGGGGTTTTAGCCAACTATAGACCGATTTCTAACCTCCCCTTCCTCTCTAAGATTCTGGAGAAAGTAGTCGCCAAAGAGTTGTGTGACTTTCTACATAACAATAGTTTATTAGTCAGGATTTAGAGTTCATCATAGCACAGAGACAGCTCTGGTTAAAGTTAATAATGACCTTCTGACTGCTTCTGACAATGGACTGGTCTCTGTACTAGTATTATTAGATCTTAGTGCTGCATTTGACACCATTGACCATAATATTCTTTTACAGAGACTTGAGCATCAAATTGGCATTAAAGGAACCGCACTAAGCTGGTTTAAGTCATATTTATCAGATCGCTCGCAGTTTGTACATGTTAACGATGAATCTTCAATAAATACTACAGTTAGTCATGGAGTTCCACAAGGTTCTGTACTTGGACCAATACTATTTACTTTATATATGCTCTCTTTAGGCAACATTATTAGGAATCACTCCATTAACTTTCACTGTTATGCAGATGATACGCAGTTATATCTATCAATCAAGCCCAATGAAATTAATCAATTATCTAAATTACAAACATGTCTTAAGGACATAAAATCCTGGATGACCTGCAATTTTCTGATGTTAAACTATTACTAACATATTTCACAATATTGCTGACAGAATTTGAATAAATAGTAATGAGTTTTAAGATTGTGGAGTTGCAGAATTATAGATAATTACAAAGAATTACATAATAATCAAGTGAATTGCACATTGACCCTGGTATTGCACCTTAATCGAGTTATTGCACATTAACAGCACCAGTTTAATGACTGATTGACTCAGAGTTTCAACAGTCTGAAGGAGGAGTTAAAGAGTCTGATGGCCACAGGCAGGAATCACTTCCTGTGCCGCTCTGTGGTGCATCCCGATGGAAAGAGTCTTGAGTCATGAAGATGGCATGAATCTTGGGCAGCATCCTCCTCTCTGACACTGCTGTCAAAGAGTCTAGCTCCACTCACACGTCGTCACTGGCCTTGATGACTGGACTCTGTGTGGTAAATGAAGTCTGTGGTGTAGAGGGTGAAGAGGAAGGGAGAAAGGACAGTTCCCTGCGGGGCCCCGGTGTTGCTATCTACTCTATGTGAATGGAGACGTTATGGTCAGGTATGTCCTGGTGTAGCCATATCTCTGTGAAGCAAATCAAACTACACTCCCGGGGGACATCAAAAAGGCAGCAAAAGTGTTGGGACAGAATATTTTTACATCTAACACTGTTAGACAGCAGAGTTGGTGATTGTTGGAACAGTGTAAAGACTAATAAAGCCGGTTTTGTCAGTTTTATTTTATCTCTGTCGGGTTTGAATGAAGTGTGTTTTAAGATTGCTTAAAAAGGTCTTAGTTCTGTATAAGAGAGAAAATTGAATTTAGAAGGTGTACGGTTATATTTTCTGTTTAATTCAGAATAGTTTTTCCTTTCCTTTCCTTTCTTGACATTTGGTGAGTTTTCTATCTTTTCTAAGTTGTTAGAGTTTGTCGCACATAGTTTCATGCAGTGTTGATGTCTATCTAAACACGGTCTAAAGGTCAGAGATCTGCATACATGTAGCCATGTAACTAGAGTTAATATTCCTTTTTTAACATAAACACAAAAGCACATATTGTGATGATCGTCCCTTAAATTGATTGTTAAAGAATTGTGACCAAGGTATGTACTGATGTACTGATCAGCTGGGCAGTAGCCAGAGGATGATAATATATTGGGCGGTTTGTGGAGAAGATCTCAATGATACAGATATAGCAACTCTCCTCAATCTTTACGCAAAGATCATCTGCCTTGTTGCCTATAGTAAGTGATGTATATAACCCCAGGTACTTTTCTGTTTTGTCTGCAGTGGTACCTCTGCTGATGAAATGTGCAACTTCTATATAATGTACTACATGGACAGCAAACACGCCATACCCTACATGAACTGCATGGAGACCGGCTCCAATGAGCTGTTTCAGGATATTCCAGCTGAGGCTAATGTTCCCATTGCTGTCAGTCCGGGTCATATGAACTCTATGACGCATATGGGACACACAACAGGTACAAAAGAATTAGATATTGTTTATGTTGAATACCTCTTACCCAACGTTATTCAAAACTATTTTTGACAATTTTAGTATGCCTCCTTCATGTGACTTACAGAATTTACATTTTTCAAAAAGAACTTAGCTGTCACTAAACTTTGTTTTCCCCCATAGATCAACAACTTAACAGATTGTTGAATACAAACAATGCAGAGAAGGTTCTGGATCAGGGTGAGTTTGTTTTTTTTTGTCACTACAAAAACTCTTACTTGATAATAAGTCTGATATTTGTCTCAGCCTCTGACATAATTTTAGCTCAACACTTAATATAATCATGCATAATAAATAGTCAGTGTACAAATTACTAAATGGCTTTTGAGAGAGCCCAATTTTCCAGTATTCACCACTATGAAACATGTCACATGCCCTTCAATTGCAATTGTTACTGTGAAAAACTACTACAAACAGGTAATGGTAAATGGACCTGTACTTGTATAGCGCCTTTCTAGTCTTCCGACCACTCAAAGCGCTTTTACACTACTTGCCACATTCACCCTTTCACACAGTAATGGCAAAGTCCATCGAACAGAAACTAACATTCATACACATTCACACACCGATGCACGGCATCGGGAGCAATTTGGGGTTCAGTATCTTGCTCAAGGATACTTCGACATGTGGCACCAGGAGCTGGGGATCGAACCCACAACCTTCCGATTAAGGAACGACCCGCTCTGACTCTGAGCCACAGCTGCCCAGGTCAATAACATTTCATAGAGGCTAAATTCGACAACATTATCAAAGAATACATCTATTGTGGGCACGTCAAGCAAGATGGCGGTGCATTAGACGAGCTCTCCCCGCCCTATCTACCAAACTGTTTTATACCCAATTATTTGCCACTTTCCTTTTGTAAATCAGACTTGGTTGGCATTTTTGCACATATTGGAATCACCCGGTGGAAGTTTTGGAATCAAAATGACTTCTATGACCAAGCACTCCAAGGGAGGTTAGGCGGCAGGCCGCATATCCACCAGGAAGAGCCCCAGCTATACAATGGAAGATACGACACCCACATTAGAGTCGGACATACGGGATGTTGAACCAAAGAGCATGGAGAACATTTTCGCTGAGATAGCTAAAACGATTGCTACACTTCACTACAGCCGACATGTTTGTGAGCGATAATGACGGCCATGACAAGAAGGTGGAAATGTTACAGAATCGTTTACAAGTAGGGTTGCAAAATTCCGGGAATATTTTTCAAACTTTCCATGGGAATTAACGGGAATATATGGGAATTAACGGGAATAACCGTGAATTAACGGGAATTAACAGGAATAAACAGGAATTAATGGGAATAAACTTGATATTGTTAATATTGCTTTTTATAATACTGTTAGTCTATAACAGGGAACTTACATGTAGTTGAAAAGAAACATCTTGCAGGATAATCTTGCTCAAACAACCTGATTTAATGCAACTTCAGTTGAATGTCCTCCCTATAGCATAGGCTACTACATACTTGCCAACATTTATTTTTTAAAATATGGGAGTTTTTTTTCTTTTTTTGGGGGCGGGGGGTTAATACATAACCCATTGCTGTTAACGTATTTGGGTTAATTGTATTGTACGCATATAACCATAACCATAGCCATAGTAAATTAAAGGCAGCATGCTAGCTACCATCATATGTTAAGCTAAAGGTTGATGGTTTGGGCTACTTCTTATGGTGCTATCCATTTGTCTTGTAAATCCCCCGCCTGAGTTGCTCGACGCGAGAATGTGACATAATTGCCTGGCTTGTACCACTTATAGCGTTCCATTTGTCTTTGGGCATTACGAGTCAGAATGAACATGGAAGCCACCAGTGCAGCAGCTGTCTTGTTATTGCTTGTGGCTCATCTAAACAAGCTCAATGTGAAATAATAATGTTTTTCTACAGAAACACTAACATTTCAAGTAATTTCGTTATTGCAAGTCTTACATTTCAAAAATATTTTGCCATTTTCGCCTATTTCAATTTCAACAAGTGCTGTGGCGTTTTTCTCGAGCCACCAGGGGCAGTGGCAGGCTAGTGTTATTACATTAGCCTATTTAGCAAACCAGCTCGAAAACAAAACTTTACATTGTATTGCACACACAGCAACACCGTGCAATGCATAAATTGGTGACCAGATTAAAGCAGCAATGTAAACAAGTGTGTAAGAGCATTTAAAATCGACATTAAAACGACCAACGTATATATGCCTGTCTGCTTATTACAAAACAAAATGTTTATATTTATGTTTGTATAAGATGGAGTTTGTATGAATTACCCAACTTTTCCAGTTAATTCTCCTAAATTCCCATTAATTCCCATAATTTGCCATTAATTCCCATGAAAGTTTCCAAATTGGAATGTTTCAAAAATTCCCCAGCTTATCTTTCCATGGGAAGTTTCCGGAAAGTTTCCAGAAATTTACCGCAAATTTCCGCCCCTTTGCAACCCTATTTACAAGAGCTGGAAAAACATTGTAAGAGAAACAACGTGGGACTAAAGGAGACGTATGGAACGAATGGCACCATGGAGGCATGTGTGAAGAAAGCTTTGCGTGAGGGGCTCGGCATCGATGTGGACAGGGAGTTTGAGGTGGAGAGAGCGCACCTGACGGCTGCTCCCAGGCCAGCTATGGACCAGCTGCCCAGACTGGTGCTTATCAGATTCCTGCGACAATCGGCGAGGGAGAAGGTGCTTGCCTTGGCGAGAGAAAACCGTGGTATATTGTGGGAGAACCTCAGATTGTCAGTGTTCCCAGACGTAGGAGGAGGAGGCAGAACAATTTATTGAGGAAAACTCTACCTTTTGATTTTTGAGTTGTTCCTAGGGAACAGAAGCCAAGTGCCTCTGTTAATATTGTCTGGGGCATATTTAAGTTTGTGTTACCTTTTGTTACTACTTCAGATGTTCAGAAGTATCCAGTTCAGAAGCGTTCAGCTTTACCTTGACATATATTTCTATAAGGGTGTGGTACTGACTGAAGTTAACAGGGAGACAATTTTCGGTATTAATACATGTGAGACACTAGTTTTAAAGCGCGACATTGGTGATATCAGGTCACAATGTAGCCAGGCTTTTCTTGCCATAAATATTTATGTTTACTCATTCTTATTTCCTACATAAAACATGGCTAAAAACTTAGATGTATAAGTTGAACATCAAGGGCTGTGGGGATCCTAAAAAGAGAGGAAAGGTTTTGACATACCTCAAACATAACAAAGCAGATATTGCTTTCATTCAAGAGACTCACTTTAGGGGAGAAGAGGCAGCCAAACTGAAGTGGGGATGGGTGGGCCACATCTTTCATAGCTCTTACTCTAGCAAGAGGAGAACAGGGTTTGCATTCTAATAAACAAAAATCTGAGTTTCGTTCTGGTCAAGGAACTGACCAAATTATTCTAGCTGGAGACTTTAATCAAGTAATGGATGTGTTTATGGATAAGAGCAAATTCAGCGGGCCAATAACTATGAGAGACAGGGCTGCTCTACACATGCTCTGTGAAGACTTAGGCTTGGTAGATATTTGGTGACTGGCAAATCCCAGAGAAAGGGTTTACACCGTCTTCTCCCACTGTCAGAAATCGTATTCTAGGATAGACTTCTTTTTAATTTCAAGAAATATTGTAGAATCAGTAACAGTGTACAATAAATGCGATGGCCCTGTCGGACCATGCAGCTATACAGCTGGGTGTTGATATTAACACAGATAAAGAGAGAAAAGGTAGATGGAGGCTAAACACCTCACTGTTATGTGATGAAGCCTTTGCTCTGACACTGAGGGAGGATCTTAAATACTACTTTGATTTTAAGTCAAGAAGCACAGCCACAAGGGCAATGGAATGTGAGGCATCCAAAGCTTTTATCCGAGGCAAAATTATAGGGATAGGCATCAAAACAGAAAAAAGAATATAGGAGCAAAATCAAGGATTTGGAATGTCAAATTAGAAAACTGGAAACTGAACTATCGACACTTTTCAGATAAGTTATACCAGGATATATGAAAACTTAAATTCCAACTACAGGATATTTATAAAATAAATGTTGAATATGCATCATTCAGGCTCAGAACAACTTTTTATGAAGAGGGCGAGAAAGCAAGCAAATTACTTAGCAGGCAACTTAAAAACAGAACTCCCTCAACGTGATACCAGTGATTAAGAAGGGAAATAACTTCTTCGTCATCTAGTAAAGAAATAAATGAGGTCCTAAAACAATTTTATAGGGAATTATACACATCCCAGGTCAGCTCAAATCGAAGGGAAATTAGTAATCTTTTCTCTAATATTACTCTACCTAAAGTATCTGCTGAACATGTGGAATTATTAGATAGTCCAATAACCGATCTTCTGCAGTTCATATGAGAAGATTATTACATCTGATTTGGCTGAACCATTCAAACCAGGACCCAATCTTGGCCATCTCGTTGGATGCTGAGAAGGCCTTCGACACTGGGTCAAGGACAGTAATTTGGATTGGGTTAGCATTGAAAGTGAGATGTGTTCTCCATTTGCCCCTATAGATAGATTATCCCAGTCTCAACATGGACCCATGAACCCTATCCTGTCTCATTCGAAAGAGGTTTGGACCAGAATACACAAGATGTTAAAGATACCTCATCTTAGACAGCCTTACTCATCTATATGGCATAACCCAACGATTGTTATTGGGAAAACACAGATATAATGGAAAAAATGGCACCTCAGTGGTATATGTCGGGTGGATGACCTGTATCAGAATTGTGTTTTCATGTCATATACAGATCTGACTAGGAGATACGCCCTCACAGGGAAAGGTCACTTTTGGAAGTATCTACAAATTAGGAGCTGTCTCGCACAAGGGACTCAGTAAGAAGAGAAATCCCATCACAGACTTTCTCAGATTGCCAACGGAACACCTTATGGCCTCTATCTTTTATAGACTGACTAATGAACTACTCAGTAATAGCTGCGACAGCTTAAGAGGAGTGTGGCAGAAGGACTTGGGATGTATGTTGAATGAAGAGGAGTGGTTAAACATTCTGTCACATACTGGGAAATTTGTCAGGGAGTCCAGAAGTAAATTTACTCAATACAAAATAATCCACAGGTATTAATCAGCCAAACCCCCAGAAATGAAGGAATGGGTTAACTATATGATAAAAACTGCCTCCTACGAATCCATGTTGATCAGGAGGAATGACGGAAACCACACT